AGCTGTGGTGGCTGGGCCTGTGGCTGTGGATCCTGTGGCTGTAGGCCCAGCTGCTGTGGATCCTGCTGCTGTCGCCCCACATGCTGCCAGACCACCTGCTGCAGGACTACTTGCTGCCGCCCCAGCTGCTGTGTGTCCAGCTGCTGCCGCCCCGCCTGCTCTAGTTGTTCTTGCTGCTAAGCACTCTGCCCTGCATCCTTCTCTTCCTCAACCACCAGCGTCTATTGCCTACTCCATCTCAGAACTAAATCATGTAAAGCCACTCATGAAACCTCAGTTTTAATTGATCTGTAGGTTCTGTCACAGCCTCAGATATGTACCCCCAATGATGTAAGAAATCACTGTCACAAATGACCACTGGTTTGATTTGCCACTGAAATCTGTTAAAACCTCATCAACCTGCAGAAAATTTTCTCTTTGTCACCTTGTTCCATATGGGCAATATACTTTCATTTTAAATAAATCTTGATTTTCCAGGCATATAAATATAAGGTCATGGTGTTTCATTATTTTTTTTCCCTCAATTTTGTTTCTTCTCTCTTATATTTTGATTGTTCTTTATGCAGTTTGAGAAGCAGGGAACAAATTATTTTATGGAATCTTTGATGTGCACCCTATATACCTCTGATATATTTAGAACAATGGTTATTTAGAACAAGGGCCTGGTAAAGCCTTCCTGTGGAATTTCTCTTATTAAGTAGCATTCTCTGGGCAGATGGAAATGGCTTCAAGGAACAGCCATTACCCAAGGAAGGGGAGTTAGTGAATAAACACCTGAGTTTATTTCCCCTTCATGGTGGTGGGGGGACCAATTATATCAGTCCACCAGTAGTATTCAGAGGAAATGAACCTCAGTTGCTTACAGGAGTATTCTTCTTCTTCTTCTTTTTTTTTTTTTTTTTTTTTTTTGAGATTTTCACTGTAGGGCGCGTGCGCTTGCCAGACAGACAGAGAGAGACATAGAGACAGAAAGCGAGAAATCACCCCCCAGGGGGGATGGTCACACCGCAATCCCTTCTCCTCCATTCTCCTCTTGGGATCTTGGGCACGCATGCACACACTCCCGGCGTGAGTTTTAAGCCACCAGGTCCGGGACACGAACCGCGGTCGACTACGTGGGAGTCCAGCGACACAGCCATTACGCTAACTGCTGGTTCCCCTCACAGGAGTATTCTTGTCATTAACTCACTGTATATAGATTTCACTTTCATTCCTATATCATCTCTAAGTTCCTTATTGTGCTTCTAGCAATTATACACAAATAAACAGCTTGTTCTCAAACTCAAGATCTTGTTCTAATTCAGAACACCCACATTGTATAATAGCAGTGTTCCTGACTTTAGTATCATTGCCCTCAATACAGTTTTTATACAATATCAATGGTTGCATGAGGTCATGTTGAACTCTCCAGTTGCCTGACAAGTAAAATAGTAAATCTCCAGTACATTTTAATGTTCTTCATTATAATTTTTGCACAGTTGTTTTTACACTAGTGTCATCAATCTTCTCCATGGCATTCCATCTGATCCATAGAAAAAAAAATCATCATGGTAGGAACATCTACTGAGAAGCCATGTGAAGAAACACTTTAGGTACCTGAGTGTTGCAGGTTTTGTTTAAGGTGATACCAGCCTAAGCTGTGTTGATAGATACAGATTCCATGCAAATACCATGTTGGATTCACTAAAGAAAGATCTATGAATCATGGATTCCTACACTAGTGCTCCCAGGGGAAATATGTGAGAATATATTGAAACACGTAGCATTGTAGAGGAAAAGAACCCCCCAAAAGGCTGTACATTGCTGCTGTTCCTGTCTGACCTCATAGGGAGTTAGAAAATATGAATGGTATCAAAAAAACCTCCTTATCCTAGAGAGAAGGTGTTTAGATCTTTATATTTCTATATCAGTTAAAACTAGTTGTGAGTCACCCAGGTAAAAAGGTAAAGTATGCCAAGAGGCCAGAAACATACAAATAATATGGATCCTATAAGTTAAGGACAATTTTCTAGAGAACAGTACAGATGAACAGCATGAGCCACTAGCAGTCCACACTAACCCAAACTTCTGGATGGAGGCATCTTTTTGGTACAAGAAATTTGTGTAGGAAATTGTATAGTCGACCCTTGGCACCAGTCAAGACCATCACTCTGTCTCATTGAACTCACTCCACTGATGCTCACAAATACTTAGAGAAGTTTTCAAGAGGAGAATTAGTGGGCAGCACTTCTGCTGGTCTAGTTGACTTGCTTGGTAGAGAAATGAACAGTCTGAGTAGAGACTAGAGCTCTTATTTATATCCCTTATAAGGTCATAGCCACAGCCCTGTGGCAATTTCAGTTAAAACTGAGACTAGAAACCCACTTGCTCCATATAGTCCTCTGCCCACATTATATAAATTGATTCTACTTGCTCATGAAGACAAGGAAAATTGGCAGTAGAAATCACTCTTACTTTGCCTGTTGATGTGCTAGTTCTAGGAGCCCCAAAAGGTAAGATGATAGCAATGGCATTACTTCCAGTGAAACCTTAACTATGTCCCATGAAAAGATTCCTCAGAAACCAGAACCACCAGATCCTCAGGATATGTGTGGGAATCAAACACACATTTCCCACACATGGATCCCTCAGAGTGAACAGGAGTGGAGTGGCTCCTGTTTCATCACTTTGTTCTATTTTGTGTTTGACCTGTCAGAAGCATTGCACAAATAATGGTTATTGGTTTAAGGTGTATATTGCATCCTGAGGGACAATGCTCCATCTTCATAGGGTGTCATTCCCAACCCACAACTCAGCCATGGTATCAGGAGGTGTTTGCATCACACTATCAGTTTAAACGTTTTTGGATAGTGCATTTCAAATCAGTACCAATGGATCCCATGGTCACCTGGCCACTGCATCAAGTCTTGCTCTATGTATGAAGTCTTTTGGTGCAAGGTGAAGTTATGTAGGATTCCACACACCCAGGCTACATATTCTTCAACTCCTATAAAATCTTCCTGACTGAGGTACCTGTAAATCTTCAAGTCATTAGTTATTTTACAGTTTTAAGTGGTCTTGAGATTTCATCTCCTTAGATCTTGGGTAAGTATCTCTAAATTATTTATCATGATTCTTTCACTCAGTGTATTATGTCATCCAAGTCTTCATGACATCAAAATATTTTCATTAACATATCAGAAAGACTCTCAACAAAGTTGAGTATATATAGCCATCCTCAGAGAGACCAATCTTATACAGGAATTACTACTCTTACACCATCTTTATAGTCAGGGTTCTCTAGGAAGACAGAACCAATAAGCTATATGTACACATATGAGGAGAATTAGTGGGCAACTCACTGCATTTCAATGATGGCAGCTGTGAAAGTGCATGACATGTCACTGGAAACCTTGAATTCCTGACTTTCTGGTAGTATGGTTCACTCCAAGTCTAGAAGCTTTGAGCATAGGAGAGACATTGATATAACTCACAGTCTGAACCTGAAAGCCTTGGAAGTACTGGATAAAACCTGGAGTCTAAAGCCAGAAAATCCTTCGCATCTGAAGTCCAAAATAAATCTGTTATCTCTCAAGAAAGACCCATTTGTCTTTTGTGTTTATGCTCTCTTGGTCCCTTGTAAAGAAAAGTGTGCCTGCTCATTTTAAAAGGAATCTTTCACATCTGGTATATTATGACCCACATGTTAATCTCTTCCACAAATACCCCCATGTATAATCCAGAAGAATGATTCATTTAGTTTATAAATATTCTTTAGTGTAGTCCAATTGACAACCAGAACTACAATCACACAACCCTTATTTGGAGAGTGACACATACTTGGAATAGCATGGTAAAAGGTTAGGATTTCCTACCTCCTTCCCTGGTTGCCTCTGATCACCAGGTTGTCAACTGATGGGCCAGTGCATTATGCACTTTTTGAAATAGAAGTCAACATTGATTGGGCACCTTTGCACTGTTTATGCCTTTATCCCCAGGAGTGGAACTGCTCATAGTTCTACTGGGTCGTTGGGAAAGTCATGATGTATTTTTGCATATAAAAATATAAGAAAATAAGTCATGACTTCCCAATGACCTAACATTTGTAGGTCTTTGAAGAACCTTCATGTTGTTCTCCACAGTGGCTGTATTAATTTACATTCCCACTATCAGTGTAGGAGAGTTCCTTTTTCATCACAGCATGGTACTGGCACAAAAACAGGTGTTTTTTTTTATTAAGATGCCTGTTTTCCATACCTCTGATTTTCTTTCACATTCTTTGTTTCCATTTTCATTACCTTTAACAAAGAGACTTAAGGAAATCATAAACTTGAATAACAGCAACAGAGAGTGTAAGGAACTTTATGCCCAGCAGTACAACACAGAGAGCAAATTAGAAAGGTGAGAAATAGGCTCAGAGGCAAAGAACCTGAGTGATATAAGCTGAGTTGGCAGGAAAATCTTCAAGACAGAGATTATGAATCTATAAGTTCTACTAGCCTAGAAAGGAGGGAATTTAAAATGAAAGGTAATCAACCCAAAAGAGAAGAGAGTGGAAGATACGGTCAAACTCTGCAGCACACTTCTCAGAGGTCCTGCACTGACATTTGGACGTTTTGTTCTGGATCCAAACATCAAAGTGACAAAACCTAGCTTTCCACCCAAGAGTAGTTTTGTGTCTCCCAGAATGTTTAGAAATTGAGTCCCAGGAAAGAAATCAGTGGCTTTCTGCTTCACATACAAGCATGCATTCTTTGCCCACTTGACCCAGAAGGAAAGAGCCATCATTCATCAGGAACCAGATTTATCTTCCTGGGTGCCCACAAAGTAGCACCCATGTGTGGACATGATGCTAAATAGGATAGACGCAAACAGTACCTAGCAGCAGATATCTTGTGACAGTCGTCATAAAGGAAGTCAAAGCAAGAAATGCACATCAGAAGTGATTAAAGAAGAGCCTTTTGGATAAGTGCTAAATCATTAAGAAAAATATTCACATTCATCTTGAGCATTTGATTCACCAAAACACACTTGCCTAATTTGATAATTGCCTATCTATTAGCACAAAGAATAACAAGGAACGAATGCTGTACCTGATGATAGCAGCCCTCTAGCAGGATATTAAAGGGAATATGGGGCCAGGGGACCTCCAGACCTTCCACCTTCCTGGAAACCCACTCAGAACCTCCACCTCTGACATCATGGTCAACTCCTGTTGTGGATTCACTTGCTCTGGCCAGAGTTGTGATCAGACTTGCTGCTGTCGGCCCAGCTGCTGCCAGAATACCTGTTGCAGGAGCTGTGACTGTGGCTATGGCTCCTGCTGCTGTAGGCCCAGCTGCTGTGGTTCCTGCCACTGTTGCCCCATGTGCTGCTAGAGCACCTGCTACAGGACCACCTGCTGCCACCCCAGCTGCTGCCAGGCCACCTGTTGACACCTTGCCTGCTCTAGTGGTTCTTGCTGCCAAGTGCTCTGCCCTGCCCTCACCTCTTTCTGATTTACCAGCATTCAGGTCCAGTTATCTGAGAGCAGAATCATGAACTGTCCCCTGTGAAACCTCAGTTCCAACTTATTTGTAACTTTTGTCAGAACCTCAAATATCACTGGGCTCCCTCACCATATTACCATCTGTCTCCCAAATGATAACAAGTTTGAATTTCCTCTGAAATCTTTCAATGACCTCATCACTCAATGGAAATACTTTCTATCTTTGGTATATTCCCATACGGTCATATTCTTCCACTTAATTAAATTGATTTTTTCAGGCGTAGAAATGTAATGTTATGGTGTGTCTTTCTTCTTGGTTGCCATAAATCTCTCTCATGTTTTCAGCTGTTCCCTATGCAGACTGAGAGGCAGTGGTAGATGATTTTTATGGGCACTTACTTTTCCCTGAGCATTCCTCCCTTTAATTTAGAAAGATGGTTGTTGCCTTCCTGTCAAATTTCTCTGAATTAAGTAGTATTCTCTGAGCAGATGAAAAAGGCCTCAAGGAATAATCATCACCCAAGGAAGAGAAATTGGAAGTTGAACTCCTGAGTTTATTTTCCCTCCATTTTTGGGACTATTATACCAGGCCTCTCCCTTCAGGAGAAATTGATCCTAGCTGCTTACCAGAACAATCATCAACTCATTCAACACCAGACCAGATCTCCAAGAAGTTCTCAAGGGAGTGCTATACCAGGAAAATTAAATACAGACACACAGAAATAAAAGTTCAAAAACTAAGAAAATGGCCAACTTAATTGTGGAGACAAGTCTGGAATTGAATATTATATCCCAGAATTTAATAGGGAAGATCAAACCACAACAGAAGATAGATTAAGTGTATGAGACTGAACTGGTGAAACAGCGTTTTATGACTTTTGACTAAAACATTGCTGATTTTCTTCTAGGCTTTGTTTTCTGATTTTAAGGATTTTTGTCCTGTCTTGAGCTATCGATAGGTTCATGTACCTACTATTTGAACATAATCCTAACCTGTTTCCTGGCTTTAAGTTTTAAGCAAAGTTCCTTAGCATTTCTTTGATTTATTAAAGTTAAAAATGCTTTTCTTGAAATTATCAGCTGAACTTGCTATTGAAGGTCATTAGATTATATAAGAAATTGTGTGATCAATAAAATGTGGGGGAAAAAGAAATGGAAAACAACTATAGATATCAGAGATAGTGTGGGAGGAGGGTAAGAAAGGGCAGAGAGACAGAAATAGGGGAAATATAAATATATATATAACTAGAAATGGAAAATTATTGACAATAACATGCATGATTAAGCCACTGTGCAGTATATTCTGGATGGGAAGTCACATTTTTGTATGCTGTGATGAAACTTAGGGAATGAATGTAAATTAATTCATTTTAAAAATGTTTAAAAAAAAGCTCATAGAAACACATGTAATGATAAAACTGTATGAATTTCAATAAGTTTTTGTACCAAAATTAATTCATAGTTTAATTGTAAAAAAAAAAAAGAAAAGAAAAAAAAAAGAAATGTTCATCCATGGGAGGCTGTGTTGTTCTGTGAGCTTCGTGCTGAAGAAGGCTTTGTTTAGGAGGGTACCACCCTAGTAGTGTTGATGGATGCAGAGTCTATAGGGATATCACCTTGACCTACAGGTGCTATGTTGGAATTCATAAATGGAGATCACTGAACCATGAATTCTTACACTGGTGCTTCACACAGGACAGTAATCTTCAGTAATCTGTAATAAGCAGGATAGCTTGGTAGAGGAAGTAAAGGCAAAATGAGACTGTGCATCAATGCTGTCCTTGTCTGACCTCATAGGATACTAGAGAGTGTGAGTGGTATACAAAACCTCATTGTCCTGGAGACAAGGTGGTTAAATCTTTATATTCCTTGATCCATTAAAAGTAGCTGGGGGCTACCCAGAAGAAGATGCAAAGAATGCCAAGAAGGCAGAAATACACAGATGATATGGATCCCATAAGTTGAGGACAATTACCAGAAGAAAGTATAGGTGAACGGTGTAAACCAGTAGTAGTCCACATTAACCTTGTCTCCTGGATGGGGATAACTTCTTGTACAAGGGGTATAGGTAGGGTACTGTACAGTTGACCCTTGGCATCATGCAAGACCATTACTCTGTCTCATTGAGCTTACTCCACTGATTAGTCAGAAATTTCTAAAGACACTTCAAAAGGAGAATGAGTGGGTAATACTGTTGTCTACATGACCTGCCTGCTAGAGAAACAAATATCCTCAGCACAGATCTGAGCTTTTGTTTATATCTATCCCATTTCCACTTAAAGCTGAAACTTAAAACCCGCAATTGACCCAGCAGAGTAGCCACTCTCTCCATATGTTCCTCTGCCCTCATTATGTAGCATTGGTTCTACTTGCTCCTGGTGACAGGATGAATTGGCAATATGAGTAGCAGCCAACATTGCCTGTTAATGTCTTACTAGAAGCCCCAAATGATAAGGGCATAGCTTTTTTTTCCCCCAATGGACCCTCACTATAGTCTTGGAAGAGATGCCCTTTTTTTGGAAGCCAAAACCTATAGATCCTCAGGGCCTACATTATGTCATTATGTCAGAGTCAGGCACACATTTTTTTTTTAATTTTTAAAATTTTTTTATTATCATCATCATAATCTTCTTTATTTTACATTGGATTACATATAACTTTACAGTGTATTACATTGTTTTTTCAAAAGGGAATGCCATGCATGTCCGTCAGTACAGAGACATTAATCTCCCCACTTCAACATTCAATATCTTTTCTATGTTTTCCTCAATCATTATTTTTATTATTTTAATTATTTTTTAAAACAGTCAATTGCCATTTCTCATTTTGCTTGTAAAAATACTTTGCCCATCATGAAATACTTCTCAGACCAATCCAGTTGAGAATACTATACATGTCATCATCAACAGTTAATAAGCCCTATCTGTTTCTCACTAACGTCCTGCCTCTCTATTGTTCACTTGCTATCTTTCTCTATCCTCTTCTCTTCACTTACCCCATTCCACACTGTCCTATTCTCATTAAGTACCTTCACTGCTTTTATGTCCTCCGATTTTTTGCTCTCTATCATAGAGTGCGGATAGTTGGTATATATTGAGTGGATACATACAATATCTTTCTTTCATAGCCTGGCTTACTTCACTCAGCAATAGATCCTCCATATCTGACCATTTTCTATCAAATTCCAGGGTCTTGTTTCAGGCACACATTTTGACACATGAGGATTACTGGGAGTGGAGAAGTGGTTCCTGTTTCATCAACTTGTTTGTTGTATAAATGTGCATGATCTGTTGGAAGCATTGCACATTTAATGGTCATTGGTTCAAAGTGTATACTGCATCCTGAGGGACATTGCTCTGTCTCAAGCTATATACTCAGCCATGGCACCTGGAGGTGTCTGCATCACAGTATCTGTTCAGATGTTTCTGGATGGTACAGTGCAAAGTGGAACCAGTGGATCCCATGGTCACCTACTCATTGCTCTATGTCTTGCTCTGTGGTACAAGATAAAATTAGAAAGAGCTCATGAAATCTTGCTCTGTGGTACAATATAAAATCAGAAAGAGCTCATGGCAAATGTATATTATGAAAAAAAATTCATTGACTTTAAATTTTTTTATGTCCAAATAAACTTGTATCTTAATTCCATTTTCTCTCTTATATTAAAAAATCACATTGGAGATTTAATATAAATTGTGCTGAATGTATAAATGTATAGATCAAGTTAAAATATTAAATCATATTATTGATGAACATGACAAAAAAATTTTATTTTGTACATTCAGACACTGTAAATCACCACAGCTGGGCAAGCATTTCTAATACTAGGAATCATGATTCTGCTATTCATCATATACAACATTCCCGTCTTCACTGCCTCAAAATATGTTGGGAAACAAATTTATTGAAGAGTCACAAGATTGAAGTAAACATAGTCATCCTCATAGAGAGCGACTAAGACAGAAATTGTTGCCCTAAAACCATATTTAAACAATGTGATCAAATGTATATAAATAAATAAATAAATAATAAATAAATAAATAAATAAAAATATATCTATCAAATGGAGCCAGATTAAAAAAAAAATCAAGGTTCCCTAGTGAGACAGAAACTGTAAATATGCACAGATACATGAGAGGAGATTTATGGGTTGACTCACCTCACACAAAAATGGCAGCTGTGAAGGTGCACAGCATGCTGTCGCCATCCTTGAGAGCCTGAATTTCCAATAGTACAGTTTAGTCCAAATTCAAAGGCTTCAAAGGCCTCAATGTCAGAAGAGCAGTAAATATAACTCACTGTCTGAGGTCTAAATCCTGAATACCTGGGAGGTCATTGGAATTAACCCCGAAGTCCAAAGGCAGATGATCCTTCACTTCTGATGTCCAAGGCAACAGAAGATGTCTACCTGTTCTTTGTTGAAAGTGAACCATTCATCTTTCTCTTTTTTTAAAAATTTATTTTATACATTCAATCACTATACATCACTTAGCTTGTAAAGTGAGTTCACCCAACATGAATACACATCATACTAGTACAATTAAGGATACTATACACATTATCATCAACAGGTAATCAATTTCTGTGTCCATAAATGTCCTGTCTCTCTATTTTCCTCCTTAATTTCTTTCCTTGCACTCTCCCTCTTCTTTCCTCCTTCTCTTGCCCTTTTCCCACACTGTCTCCAGTAACCATAACCATTTCCCATACTTCTATATTCTCTAAGTATCTCTTGTATTTATTATTTCTCAGTTCTTTGTCAAGGAGAACATACTTGCCCATATCCCATTGGAATTTCCTATACCTAGTCTACCGCGACCTCCAGGTTAATCTCTTCCAGAAACACCACCACAAATACACCCAGAAGAATGCTTTATCAGGTGCCTAGGT